AACTACATCAGCGTATCAGCGTTTTCAGGTGTCCACACAGTGCTGGATCAGATCCGTACTCAAATGAATTTGTGGGAGCTGGAGGCACCAGATCGTTCTGTCTCTGGAGCCGTTTTCAATCGGATTAGTGTGGAAGAACACTGCATCCACAACGGAAACGAGTTGAATATGTACTAGTGTGGACGGGGCCTAAAACACACACAAAACAAGGTAGAGAACTGGAGGCCTGGGGCTGTAAGAGTAAATAGTACAGCACATTTGAATCTGTATAGTAGCAGTACATTTCAACAGTAATCAGGCTCATACCATTTATGCATCTAACAAGTACAGATTCCACACACAGACTTTACGCCTGAGCTCTGTATAAATCTAAAACGTTATGTTCACCCGTCAGTCACAGCATGAGCACTGACTTGTTGCCACCTGCACTCTCCCCCCTTCCTCCCTCTCCTCCTCCTCCTCCTCCCTCACGCGTGGCTGCTTTGTGGTGATCACAGGCTGGGAACATCTGCCTGACACTCCCAGCGCGAGTGTCTGCCTCTGGGCACGGCGTAAACGTGGCGCGCGGTGCTGGAGCCGAGCGCCGCCGCCGCCGCTGATGCTGTTTGTTTAATGAGTAAACAGTGTTAAAGATCCACCTGTGACATCTCCAGCTCAGCTCAGTGCAGCTGGAGGAGGCCTGGAGAAGCACACGGTTTAACCTCCTCGTGCTATGTTTAGGTTTGACACGCTGAAGCTGTCAGTCACAACCAAACACACAAATGTTCTGATTTGAAATAGTAGCTGTTCACATGAGCCATATAACTGAGCCTATTGGTTAGCACGTCTTATTTGATTATAATAAGCCTGCTACGTGCTCTCTTCATCTAATAATAAAGTGTTATTAGGTTCTTTTTTCAGACCAAGCGTTTGACTTCATACCTAATAATACTCCCTACAACTGTACAAAAACTCACGCTTATATAACAAATAGTACTTCATGCAACTGTATAAAAATTCAACCTTATGTAGCAGATAATACTCCTTACGACTGTACAACAACTCACCCTTATGTAACAAATAGTACTTCCTACAACTGTATTAAAAAATCTCCTTAATGTAACAGATAATACTCCCTACAACCATACAACAACTCACCCTTATGTAACAGATAATACAACTGTACAACAATACACCCTTATGTAACAGATAATACTCCCTACAACTGTACAACTCACCCTTATGTAACAGATAATACTCCCTACAACTGTACAACAACTCACCCTTATGTAACAGATAATACTCCCTACAACTGTACAACAACTCACCCTTATGTAACAGATAATACTCCCTACAACTGTACAACAACTCACCCTTAATGTAACAGATAATACTCCCTACAACTGTACAACAACTCACCCTTATGTAACAGATAATACTCCCTACAACTGTACAACAACTCACCTTATGTAACAGATAATACTCCCTACAACTGTACAACAACTCACGCTTATGTAACAGATAATACTCCCTACAACTGTACAACAAATCACCTTTATGTAACAGATAATACTCCCTACAACTGTACAACTCACGCTTATGTAACAGATAATACTCCCTACAACTGTACAACAACTCACTCTTATGTAACAGATAATACTCCCTACAACTGTACAACAAACTCACCCTTATGTAACAGATAATACTCCCTACAACTGTACAACAACTCACCTTATGTAACAGATAATACTCCCTACAACTGTACAACAACTCACTTATGTAACAGATAATACTCCCTACAACTGTACAACTCACCTTTATGTAACAGATAATACTCCCTACAACTGTACAACAACTCACCCTTATGTAACAGATAATACTCCCTACAACTGTACAACTCATGACTTCATGTTTCTCCTTATGACCTCTTGTATAGCCCATATATATTATGTATAACTTTATTTCTATATATTTATTTCTCTCTCTCAATTTTTTTTTTTTGTATTTATTATTATTATTATTATTTTACTTGCACACATTTATATACTCATGCCCTATTTGACACCAGTTTCTTGTTATCTTTGCTACTTATTTAAAATGTATTATTACCGTTTATGTCATTGGTCTTTATTATTATATTAAATTGTGATGTGTGAGTTACTGTGTCCAAATCATTTATTTTTAGGATCAATACAGTTTCTCTAAGTCGATTTTAACATCTTTCTTATATTGTAAAGAACTTTGAAGTACTTTGTGTACCAATTGTTCTTTACCAATAAACTTGCCTTGCCTCATTATAGCCGTATCTTCATTCGATACATAACATTCACACTTAAATCCAAAAAAGAAACAGCTTCTCTCCTTGACCTTTCCAATCTACTCCCTTAACCACCATTTTGGACACTTAACAGCTCCTTCACAATCCCTCCTCACCTCTCCCGAACCCGCGAGCTCAAAACACACATAAAAACTCAGATAAACCTGGAGTTAGCCTATACTTCACTGTACATTTCTCCCTTTCGGTCTTCATTAGAATTCAGTATCTGGCTGCATCTGGCCCAGCTGTATCAATCTAGGAAAGGTCAGAGAAAGGTGCTAGGAGGTAGGACGCAGGGAGCAGGAGCTACGCCAGTGAAATTAGGATGACCCCTTCAGCGGTCAGTCAGGCTCTGCTCAGTGGGAGTAGAACGCAGCCTCCACCAAGTCTATGGGAATCGCTGTTATTTTCATTTTTACCGCTATGCACAAAATGGTCGAGGAGTTACTAGAATTTCAAGATAAAATTAGGAAGAAAAAGTAACTCAATACCAATTCCGATACTGTGATGATAATAAAAACACTTTATTTAGACAGAATGAAAGGTCTCAGACTATAATTAAAGTCTAAAAGGTCTCAAACTTTAAATAAAAAATATTCAAACTATAATTTAAAAATGATAATTAAAAAACTTTTCTGTCCTGTTAAAATATATATTAGAGTAGAAAGTACACATACCTGCTCTCAGATGTAGTGAAGTAAAAGTAACTTCAAAATGTAGATACCTAAAATGTCTACTTAAGTATAGTACTTCATTACTTTTACTGCATTACATTCCACCACTGTCTAAAAGAGAGTACCGTATTTTTCGGACTATAAGTCACACTTTTTTTCATGGTTTGGGTGTTTCCTGCGACTTATACTCAGGTCCGACTTATACATTAAAATATATAATTTCACATGTTTGTTATTTTCACAGTGACAGGCGTGATCTGCTGCTCCTGTTCCTCCTGTACCACTGTCACTTCACTCTACTGCGCATGTCTCCTGCAGAAAGAGCCTCTGTTCTGTCTGTATCGTGTCAGTGTCTTGTAGGATTTCAGCAGATTTCAGGCTCTCTTGGGGGGCGGGGATAGGTGTATGGATCAGGTATGAGTGGATGTCCTGCTGCTGTTTGAGACGTTTCTTCTGGTCATTTTGGCTACATTCAGACTGCAGGGCTTAATGCTAAATTCAGATTTTTTTTGTGAAATCTGATGTTTTTGCGAGGTCGTTCACATTTTCAATTAAATGTGACTTGTATGTGACTCCAGTGTGAACTATAAATGGCCCAAAAGTGTCCCGCATGCACACTGTATGACATGACAATGTCAACCGCAGTGAGCGTGCTCTGTGTTTACGGAAGTCGTCTAAACATGGAAGCGAGCATTGAGCACCTGGTGATTTTAAAGTTCCTCTCGTACCGGAGCCAGAACATGAACAACTTACTTGTTTTAAGGAGGAGATTGAGAAGGAGAAGGACGAGGTTTTTGGCCGTGGAGTTTTGTGGGGCAGTGGCAGCAATATCCATTGAGAGGAACGTGTGGATGTGGAGACGTAGCCGAGAGTGGTGGGATCGCGATGTGCTTCAGTGACATGGAGTTCAACAATTTTCATATGATGAGAAGAACGTTTGTGTACATTTGTGGCTTGTTGATAATGTGTAGGTTGGATGAATGCGCCTTGGTCGTTCAGACTGAAGTCGCATGTCAAAAGATCAGATATGTATCGGTTTTAGGAGCACATATCCAAGTGGCCTGGGTCGCATTTGAAAAAATCTGATCTGTATCGTTTAGACTGTCATTAAAAGATCAGATACAGGTCACATAGGGGCCAAAAAATCGGATTTGGGTCACTTCAGGCTGCAGTCTGAACGTAACCTTACTCAATCACCTTTATTTAACGCAGACAGGTCATTAAGACATATCCCCCTCACTAATGTTCTTTTAGCGTCATAACTTATTTTGTAAGTTGTGTAAATTCAATAAACTGTTAATCATATTCTGCAGATTACAAGCTGCGTGTAGTGAAATATGCAGCTGAAAACGGTAATCGAGCAGTAAGAAGGAAAGTTTGGAGTGAGCGAGAAACTTGTGACGGACCGTCGAAAAGTCGAGGAGAATCAAACTGCAATGAAGAAAACAAAAATAAAGCGAATCACGGGCTAAAAGCTTGAGTTAGCTAGAGTTGGCGGAGTTGTTCAGAAGTGACACCGAGGATGAAGAATTGAATGGATTTAGTGATTTGGAGTGAGATGGAGAGTTTGTTAAACTTGTTCTGTTGTTTATGTTATATTTATCTGAAGAACTGTTCATATGTGACGTTAACAGTCTGTTGTTCTCTGTTCTGTTGTTATTACTAGAACTTGACTTTTAAGATGAAATGTCGGTTCCTGGTCTCTGATTTCATAAAATAAATTTCCCCCAGAAAATGCAACTTATAGTCCAGCGTGAGTTATATCTGTTTTGTTTGTTTTTTTGTGAAATTTTTTGGCTGGTGCGACTTATACTCCGGAGCAACTTATAGTCCGGAAAATATGGTACTACAATTTATGTTGAAAATCATATTGTCAAAGAGTGTTTTTTTTTGTTGTTATTATTATTATCATCGTGGTATCAGAATCTGTATCAAGCATTAAGTCGGTTCAGTATTAGTATTGAAATTGAGTTTGAAATGTTAGTATCGTGACAGCACTAGTTTCAGACAAAAGATGTTTGGAGTCTCACCTCAGCCACGGGTACTCCCTCGGGCGGGCGGCAGTGCAGAACGATCATGCCGTTGATGGGGACCTCTTTGCCCTGGGGGTCCTCCTCGAAGTTCTTCCGGAGGTCTGGGGGAGAGGCACAGGAGACACAGAAAGAACGGTCAGGCAAAGGGTTAAAAGTACTCCAGGTGCCCTGCACGTCTGACCTTTATGAACGCACAAGAAGTGACCCGTAGAGCCGATAAGGCCGGTTGTATAAGTGGAGATATGGACAAGGTGGACTCAAGGTTACAGGACAGCACTGGACTAAAACAAACTCTCAAATTCTAAAAATACCCTCAAATTCAGATACTAGGCAAATAAATCAGTTTACAGGAGAAGTATTCTGTCTATTATAACTCATGTATTTTCTAGTTTAAATGAAATTGATGATCTCCAAAGTCCAACAAAACGTGGTAGTAGTAGGAGTAGTAGTAGTAGTAGTAGTAGTAGTAGTAGTAGCAGGAGTAGTAGGAGTAGGAGTAGTAGTAGGAGTAGGAGTATAATCGATCGTCGGAAGAATTAACGATCGATTATCGATTAATCATTAACGTTTTTATATAAAAATGATCATCATTATTATTACTATCTGCACTACTAATCTGCATAAATAAATTCAACTTTACGACAAATAAACATAACAACTCCAGAGCCACATCAGCCGTTTTAGATTATAATGTGTTTAATTCAGTTTTGCGCAACTCTCACAGAAACGAAACTTAAAACCGCAATTTGCATAAACTCAGCGAAGATAAAACTACAGCTCTTGTGTCGCTGATGCGGTTCAATTTCTGTTGGATTAAAAGACATGACTCAGGTGAATACAGGTTAGTGTGACCAGATTTGCGTTTGTCAAAACCAGGACACCGTACGGGGGGAGGGAGGTGGGGACTCGTCATTGACATTGGGCGACTCTCACCTGGCAAAACTTTTCCCACTGGACACTGAAACATATGTGCTGCTTTGTACACTGTGCACATGGACTCACACTTGTCCCGACCGGAAAGTGTGGAATTTCTTGTACGGACACGCTACGCACAGCAACCTACATGTCGATTGAATTAATCAATGAAATTCTTAATGATTAATTATCGATTAATCGATTAATCATGCCCATCCCTAATTAGTAGTAGGCTAATAGCAGCAGCAGTTGGCATAGTAGTAGTGGTAGTAATAGTAGTTGTAGGTAGGTAGGTAGTTAGGCAGTAGTAGTATTAGTAGTAATTGTAGAAGTTGTAGTAGATAGGTAATGGTAGTAGTAGTAGTAGTTGTAGATAGATAGGTCGTTAGGTATTAGTAATTGTAGTAGTAGTAGTATTAGTAGTAGTAGTAGTAGTAGTAGTAGGAGTAGGAGTAGGAGCAGTAGTAGTAGGCTAATAGCAGCAGCAGTTGGCATAGTAGTAGTGGTAGTAATAGTAGTTGTAGTTAGGTAGTAGTAGTAGTAGTAGTAGGTAGTAGTAGTAGTAGTAGTAGTAGTAGTAGTAGTAGTAGTAGTAGTAGTAGTAGTAGTAGTAGTAGTAGTAGTAGTAGTAGTAGTAGTAGTAGTAGTAGTAGTAGTAGTAGTAGTAGTAGTAGTAGTAGTAGTAGTAGTAGTAGTAGTAGTAGTAGTAGTCGTAGCAGTTGTTGTTGTAGTAGTAGGTAGTAGTAGTAGGAGGAGGAGGTTAAAAGACACATATCATGCATTATATGTATTGTTATTGGTCCTGCATTTAAAGAAGCATTGTGCAACATTTCTGGTGCTGGTTCCGTCAGCTGCTTGTCTCCATGGAGATGTTGTGTTATGTTGTGTTATGTTGTTTGCTTTGCCTGGAATGTTCCATGGTATCACTTTAAATACATCTTCATTACGGGTGTTTTTGTTGCTCAAAAACACAATAATAATCACTGTGAATGAGATAGATAGGTCTAAACTCTACACTGGTTGACTGATTGATTACTTTATTTCGGTCACAGGTATATTCTGACATTATTCCACATACGGTCATATTTAACCAGTGGTGGAGCGTCAGGGTCTGCAAGTCCTTCTCTGCTGGCCTAAAAAAACATCTGAGTCACTGACTGATGTTAATTATATTATTATTAAATGATTCCAAATGGTCCGTCCACTTTTTTTTCAGAGCTTTTCCGATGGTTGTGCTGCTTCCAGACATGTATTTTTATATTAAAGCATTTGATCAATCACGTTTCAGCCATCACTTGTTGTCAGAATCAAAGAAGTGTGTTCTGAGGTCTTCATAATCCGTTCTGCAGGCCCTCGAACATTAAATAAATGTCCATGAAATTGTTGCTTCAACCAATCAAATTTTGAGTTGGTCTCGCCACGGCCTTTAGCAGCGAACGACAATGTCACCGGATTCAGACCCGCTGATTGGACAGTCAAAGAGCGAACCAGCTAAAGCAGCAAACTGGATCTGTGACCGGGTGACAGCTGCACGGAGCTGGTGCGACTTATTTTCCAAAACGACTTACAGTCCGGAAAATACAGTAATAAAAACACAGACCCAATCTCGCATCTCGTCTCGTCTTGTGGACATTGTGTCTCATCTCATTTCTAGTAACTGTGATCACTTTAGAAAACGGCAGCTGGTGGGGGTTGTTTTTAAACTGTATTTGACATACAATATTTTAAACCATTTACTGTTTTTTATGCTGCAGATAACTTGGACCTGAGTACAGTTTTTCTTTTTTGTTTCTGTGTATTTTTTATGCTGAAACAACAAATAAATTATGATTCTGATAAAGTTTATAGCATGTGGCAGGTTAGACTTCTGTAGTTTTTGCACTCTTAGATGAAATGAGTATGTATGCTGCTTTGAAAGTCATGATATTGTCTATTTGAATATGTCAGAGGTGGATACAAAGGGTAATATTTTCATTAGGTCTCGTAATAAGAGAGGACCTCCCTGCTGATTTGACCTCTGACCTCCGAAAATGCGGAGGCAGCACTGTTCTCGGAAGTCCTTCAGGCAGACTTTGAGTACAGAGCTCGGACACTCACTCATGTAGTGCTCCTGATACTTCAAATACCCCCAAATGCGTCACAGAAGCTGGCTTCTCATGACATCATAACATTCTGATCGAATCATAGCTTAAAATTGAGAAAGAGGGCAGCTCCGAATTCTATGGATGAATTTGCCTTTAGATTTTTGCCTTTTAAAAATGCAGGATTTTTGCGTAGTACGATTTTTTGGTTGCTGTATGAGAAAAGAGTCGAAGGCCACAGAATACACTTTTGAAGATTTAATGCAGAAAGCTCTGGCTCTCTTTCCACATGCAGTGACGGGAATGAATCTCAGTAACTTTTATACATTGGTAGCTGACAAAAGGTGTAAGACTTTAGCCAAAAATGGTCAGGAAACAGTCAAGCAACAACACTGTCAAATTTAATAAGTAGATCTGACTAGGATCTGATCTAGGAAACTGATTGCCTTCAAAAAATCTGACTAAAGTGGAGTGTGAATCTAAAGTTGAGCTACAAGTAATTTTTCAGTTTAGTGTTCAGTAAATTCCTCTTTCATCAAACTAGGCACAGCAAGTGAAGTGAACTTTAGTTTTCATTCATAAAACTCATGTGGTGAAGCTGAGCCAACGAATCAGTCACTTCCTCAAATCTGAAATATGTAGTAACCTTTACTTTAAGAGGAAGTTCATCTTACTTGAAAAAAAAAAAAAAACTCTAGGAAACTGATCGCCTTGAACTGCACAAGTAAATGTTACAAGTGAGTGTAAAAACAGGTTCTATTCTACAATAATGTCATTTAGATCTGCATCAGGTAAAGGATTTGAATATTTATTAGTCTTTGAAAAAAACGTACCAAAACTTTTGTTCACCTTCAGTTCAAACACATCGTAACATGTGTAACAATAAAATAATAAAACTCGGTCATTCCAAGTCAACTCAACCAAGGCCCCCGAACTTAGGAAACAAAAAATGCAGGAAGAAACAAAACAGATGAACAGATGTAATTCAGCACAAACTGAATGAACAGAGAGAGGATATAGAGACGCTCTGGGAGGATCAGGGAATGAGTGGCGACTGTAGGAAAAACAGGGAGGTAGCAAAAGGAGGAGCGGAAACAGACTGGGAAATGGAGCTGGACTCTTGACAATAATACGTCACTTTCAGGATGAAAAAAAGCACATGACTTGTCAATTAGACTAAGGTCGACTTGAATGAGACCAGTAACTAAAACAGTAACTGTTACTTTGACACAGTCATTAAGATCCACAAATTCATATCTGTGAGTAAAGTAAATGAGCTGAATGCAAGTGAACCCTAGTGTTAGATTTTACATTGACCTGGTGTCATAGAAGTGTCTTGTTACAGCTTTAACTTTAGCCACTGTATGCTGTATACGGCAGAGGGCACCAAACTTGGGGGCCACATTATTGCTCCTGACTGTGATGGAGGTTGGGGGTCAGGTTATATTTTTTGAAAACCGCCACACTTTCTTTACATACTAGACAAACTGCACGGTCTTCACACTGAACAAAAAAAGAATCTTTGAAAACTTGACACTCTCTGTCCACTTCTTGTACTTTCATACTCGTCATTTTGCTGTCCTTAAATGTACTACAGTACTCTGCACTACAGTACTCTGCACTACAGTACTCTGCTACAGTACTCTGCACTACAGTACTCTGCACCACAGTACTCTGTACTACAGTACTCTACTACAGTACTCTGCACCACAGTACTCTGTACTACAGAACTCTGCACTACAGAACTCTGCAGGTGCATTGACTGTCATTGTTTGATCTCTAGTTTGTCAGGTGACGAAATTCAGCGGCAAATGTAAATACGTCAAATAATTATTTAAATATAAATATAAAAACTGCATATAAATATACATTTTTAATTGAAAAAAAATCTACAAAATACAAGATGCAGACGTGTTATTATTTTCCAAAAAGTAATAAAAAAAAATAGGTCATGAACTTTTGAGGATTGCCTCATAGGGCCAGTTCATGTGGTGGGGGCAGAGGGGCTTTGGGGCCAGTCAAAGGGCTGTGGCGGGCCAGAGTCGGCCCACGGGCCTTAGTTTGATGACTGCTGGGATATGGTCTATTGGGGGTTTATAAACATC